AACGTTCTGGTCATAGAATCCTTCCAAGGAGCATTTGCTGGCCGGGTGTTCCAATGAGATCCCCTGTTCCCCCAACACCCAGTAAATCAACCTCACTTCCTAGTAAATATCCCCGCTCCCCCCCCACCCCCCTTTCCCTCCTAACAACCGCTCTCCCATTCAGGTCACCAAACTCTCACTAGTTGAGACCTTAATTGGTCTCCCTGTGAGTCAGGGTCCCAGCAGGAAGCAGATGGCACACTCACACTGGTAATGCGAGGAAAGGTTAATAGAGAGATGGGCAGGGCTTGGGGGAGAATGCAGTGCCCCTGGGGTTCCGTAGAGCAGGGATCGCATAAACTGAGAGCCTGGAGGGACTGCTTACTGGCACAGGGGAGGGCGGGTGGTTGGGAGAGCTTCCCAATTCAGTGACCTGGAGGAGTAAATCCTACTTCACCTCCTTGACCAAACCCAACCAGAAGCTGGAGGGTCACAGTGCTACAGCCCATGTGGCCATCTTCCAGGGCACAGAGAGGACCTGGAGGGGCGAATAGAAGATATCTAGTACAGCTTATCTTTTTTTTTTTTAATCCTCACCCGAGAATATTTTTCCCATTGATTTTAGAGAAAGGGAAAGACAGAGAGAAACATTGATGTGAGAAAAACACATCGAATGGTTGGTTCCTGCACACGCCCTGACCATGGCCCGGCCACGGAGGAGCCTGCAACCGAGGTACGTGCCCTTGACCGAAATTGAACCCGGGACCCTTCAGTCCACAGGCCAACACTCTATCCACTGAGCCAAACCGGCTAGGGCTACTTAAGTATTAATGGTTGAAATACTATATCTGGGATTTGTCAAAATACCCCAAGGGTGTATGTGTGTGGTGGTAAAGATGAAAGTTCACCATGTGTTGATACCTGTTGAGACAGGGTAGTGAACACACAGGAGTTAATTACACTATTAACTATATGTTAGAAGTGTTTCATAAAAAAATTAAATATTGTAGAGCAAAAGGAACATTAAGCTATTTCTATTGTCCCAAAACATCTTTAGCATATTGGGTGGAACAAGTAGCCTGTATGTCAAAAGGTTACAAGTATAATTCATAGTAAAAAATAGGCGACTTTGCTCTGACCGGTTTGGCTCGGTGGATAGAGCGTCGGTCTGTGGACTCAAGGGTCCCGGGTTCGATTCCGGTCAAGGGCATGTACCTTGTTTGCGGGCACATCCCCAGTCGGGGGTGTGCAGGAGGCGGCTGATCAATGTTTCTTGCTCATCGATGTTTCTAACTCTCTATCCCTCTCCCTTCCTCTCTGTAAAAAATCAATAAAATATATTTTAAAAAAAAAGAAAAAAGAAAGAATAAGGCCTACTTCAAGCGATACCAAGTGAAATTCAGAAGACGGCAAGAGGGTAAAACTGATTACTATGCCTGGAAACGCTTGGTAACCCAGGATAAAAATAAGTACCACACACCTAAATGCAGGATGATAGTCCGCGTAACCAACAGAGGTATCATCTGTCAGATCGCTTATGCCCGTATAGAAGGAGAGACGATAGTTTGTGCAGCTTATGCTCATGAACTCCCCAAGTATGGTGTGAAGGTTGGCCTGACAAGTTATGCTGCAGCATATTGTACTGGCCTGCTGCTGGCCCGCGGGCTTCTCAGTAGGTTTGGCAAGGACAAGATCTATGAAGGCCGGTGGAGGTGACTGGAGGTGAATACAACGTGGAAAGCATCGATGGTCAACCTGGTGCCTTCACCTGGTACTTGGATGCAGGGCTTGCCAGAAATACCACTGGAAATAAAGTTTGGGGGGCCCTAAAGGGAGCTGTGGATGGAGGTCTATCTATCCTTCACAGTACCAAACGATTCCCTGGTTATGATTCAGAAAGCAAGCAATTCAATGCAGAACTACATCGGAAGCACATCATGGATCAGAACGTTGCAGATTGTATGTGTTATCTAATGGGAGAAGATGAAGATGCTTACAAGAAACAGTTCTCTCAATGTATAAAGAACGTTAACTCCAGACACGATGGAGGGGATGTATAAGAAAGCTCACGCTGCTATACGAGAGAATGCAGCCTATGAGAAGACGCCTAAGAAAGAAGTTAAAAAGAAGAGGTGGAACCGTCCCCAAATGTCCCTTGCCCAGAAGAAAGATCGGGTAGCTCAGAAGAAAGCAAGCTTCCTCAGAGCTCAGGAACGGGCTGCTGAGAGCTAATAAACCAAATCACAATTTTCTATGAAGATTTTCCAGAAGAGAGACAATAAACGTATTAGGCAAACAGAAAAAAAAAAAAAAGAACTGCATTTCAAATCCTACATTTAGAATTCTTCATCAAGACAATATACTAGTACTACATGGCTTTGATCAAATGCACACTAACAATACCTATGATGCAAACATTTTTCTGGATTGAGTTAAATCAGCCTTATAGCCAGAGGAAATAAAACAATTTTGTTACAGATCATTGTGACAGGATAACCAGAAATAAGACTTACGCTTCTCTTACTCTGAGAGAAGTGGGATAACAGCATGAGTTTGAAGAAAAAGAAAGATGTAGTTTTCAACTGACAAAGATCTCTGCTCATATACCTTTAAGAATGGATGGGAGTTACATGGGAATCCTTCAAAAGTGAGGTCATTTTTATCTTTTTTTAAAAAAATATATTTTATTGATTTTTTACAGAGAGGAAGGGAGAGAGATAGAGAGCCAGAAACATCGATGAGAGAGAAACATCGATCAGCCGCCTCCTGCACATCTCCCACTGGGGATATGCCCGCAACCCAGGTACATGCCCTTGTCCGGAACCAAACCCGGGACCCTTCAGTCCGCAGGCTGACACTCTATCCACTGAGCCAAGCCGGTCTCAGCCATTTTTATCTTGAAATTCATAGTATGTTGGGCAAGTACACACTTTACAGTTTAAACATTAAAAACAAAATTACATGTTAAAGTTAAGAGGAGCCCGGCCGGTGTGGCTCAGTGGTTGAGCACTGACCTATGAACCAGGTCACGGCTTGATTCCTGGTCAGGGCACATGCCTGGGTTGCGAGCTCCATCCCGTGTGGCATGTGCAGGAGGCAGCCAATCAATGATTCTCTCTCATCACTGATGTTTCTCTCTCCCTCTCCCTTCCTCTCTGAAATCAATAAGAAATATATATTAAAAGTAAATAAACAAAGGAAGGAAGGAAGGAGAGAAGGGAAAAAAAATGGGGAAGTAGAGTTTTCCCAAATTCTTTTCGGCTTAGATGTGTGAGCAGTGCTGCTATGGCTGCCCCGCCAGGGGCAGGGGACCCCTCAGCGTTCCCCACCTTCTCATCACTCCAGGCTCCATCTTCCCTTCCTCCTCTTCCTCCTTTCCCTTCGCTCTGGTTTCTATATTCAACATCGTGATGCCTTGGTAAGTACCTTTCTACTCCGCTGACTTCTTTCCAGGACAACGTAGAGCACAGGTTGTTAGAATAGTCTGTTCCAGGTTTCAGTAACACACCTGCCAGGGAGCATCATCCCCATTTCCAAGCAGAAAACTGAGGCTCAGGGAGTAACTTCCACCAGGGCCCATGACCAGGGAAACCCAAGTTCTCAGCACCTTGCTCTCCCTTAGAGGGGTGTGGGGTCATCACCAGCCATTCACACAGACCATCACCCCCAAGTTTTCACTTATGTTTAATTTAGAATTATTCCATTTCCCTTTATGTAAACTAGAGGCCCCATGCATGAGATTTGTGCACTGGGGAGTGGGGGAGGGTGTCCCTCAGCCCAGCCTGCGCCCCCTCACAGTCCAGAAGCCCTCGGGGGATGTCTCTGTGGGGAGCAGGCCTACGCTCTCAGTGGGAGAGCCTTAGCGCTGGTGGGAGAGGCTCCCGCCACCGCCACCGTCACTGCACTGGCCAGCAGTGAGCCCGGCTTTGGGCTAAGTGGGAGTGCACTGACCAAGGGCAGCTCCTGCATTGAGCGTCTGCCCCCTGGTGGTCAGTGCCTGTCATAGCAACCGGTAGTTCCACCGTTTGGCTGATTTGCATATTACCCTTTTATTATATAGGATTGTCACTTTACATTAAATGCAGCTGCAATTTTAAACTTTCAGCCACTATCCAATCAGAACTCAGTACTGTTTGTTTTCCCCTCCCCCTATTTCTTTTCATGTTGAGGCTACTTTAAGCATATTACTTTATTTATTTTTTAATATGTTTTATTGATTTTTTTACAGAGAGGAAGGGGAGGGATAGAGTTAGAAACATCAATGAGAGAGAAACATCGATCGGCTGCCTCCTGCACACCCCGTCCTGGGGATGTGCCTGCAACCAAGGTACATGCCCTTGCTTGGAATCGAACCTGGGACCCTTCAGTCCGCAGGCCGACGCTTTATCTACTGAGCCAAACCAGTCAGGGCTTAAGCATATTACTTTTAAAAAGGCTACTCACATGTTAAAAATCTCTTTGAGCCCTAGCAGGTTTGGCTCAGTGGCTAGAGCATCAGCCTGTGAACTGAAGGGTCCCGGGTTTGATTCTGGTCAAGAGCACATGTCCAGGTTGTGGGTTCGATCCCCAGTAGGGGGCGTGCAGGAGGTAGCCAACCCATGATTCTCTCTCTCTTCATTTTTTTAAAATATATTTTATATGGATAATTGAGACCATTATAAACTTTTGAACAATAATAGATACAGAGGCAGAGCTGCCTCAAACAGAGTGTCAAACTGCATCGGGAAGGCCGGGGAGTGTGCAGGGGCCATGCTAATCTTCTCTGTATCGTTCCAATTTTAGTATATGTGCTGCCGAAGCGAGCACACTCTCTCTTCGTTGATGTTTCTATTTCTCCCTCTCCTGTCCTCTCTGAAATCAATAAAAACATATTTTTAAAAAATCTCTTTGGTAGCTGACTTGTGTCTGCTCCTTCAAAAGACTATAAAGGGTTGCTTTCCATGATTAAGTCTCACTCTAATCGACACTCTGTTTAGCAGGAGCTGCTAACAATGAAACTGAGAAAAATAAACACAAACATGAACAAATGACCTTTTATTTCATACAAAGAGATACAAAGGCAATTGTGCACTGCCCCGATCTGCTGGGCAGTCCACATTCTTGGGAGGAAGTCAGTCCACGGTAAATGTCATGATGGCTGGTGGGAGAGAAGGTCAGAGGGGAGAGACCTGACAGAGGCTGTGGAGCTGAGAGAGAAAGGTAATAAGAGCTGCATGGCTTCATGACACTTGGGTTTGTCCAGGCCTTTTCAATGCTACCAAAACCATAACTCTATATATAGCTCCCATCAAAATGCTTGAGGTGCCTTTTGTGCAATTTCGCATTGAAAGTTGCATCCAGGGAACATAATCCTTACAAATAACTGCAAAGCCATGCAACATTATTACAGGAGTCGCAAGCCTGGCTCCGTGTCTCCGTGTCCGCCACGGACGTGGCCTCCGGGCCTGACAAGCGTGTGGGAGGAGTAGCCTCTTTGGAGGGAAACGGGTTGACACTTTGGTTGGTCCCAGTTTTCCAGGCGATGCTGCTAGTTTAACAGCATCTTCTTTTAAACGGAGGACAATGTTTACTGAACGATTATCTTGCAAAATACAACACAAACAAGGTTAAGGTAGTGGAATCTCCTTCCCACGGTCCCTCCCCGCCTGCCTGTGGGCTGCCTGGAGGGTGTAAAGACTCACACAGTTTACATGTGCTGGCACGGACCTGACCCAGTAAACAGTCAATTACAGAAAACACGGCTCTGATACTTACATCTGCAATAGGGACACATCACATAAATCGTTATTAACAAAAGTTTATTGGTTTTTAAATATACAGGGGTTAAAATTTTAAATGTTAGTTTATTTTATCAAGGTTTATGCCATGATGAAAGAAGACTGAACCAAAACATCAGCGAAAATGGAGGCTCAGTAGCATGATTTAATATATTTTCCTGGATAAACAAATTTTCTTTAAAAAAAAAAAAGTATATAGCTTTTTATCTAATAAAAATTTCCTAAAAATTCAATGTTCAGAATTGAATTTTTACTAAATCCAGAAAACCAGAGTTCGGAAAATAAAAGCAGTGTGGGTAGCAAGAGGAAAGAGAAAGAGGTGGGAAAAAGGAGATTGGAATATCAAGTGTGACATAGCTGGCTGGCTTTTTAATATTATTATTTTTCAGTCTATTTAAAACAGGGTGATCTCTCTGCGACCCTGCAGGTAAAAAAATCCTAGTGTTTTAGCTCTAAGAAAGCTTTAAGAGTTCAGATATACAGATAAGCCAATTAAAAAACAAAAAACACATTTCTGTATAGTATTCTAAAGACTTTGAAGCATTATATAAAACTTTAAAATTCCTGTCACCCACATTTTAAGAAATAAATCTACACTTTAATAAGGTACTCTGAAGATATAAAACGGTCTTGAAAAAATTACATCCTATGCGGGCTAACCCCTTCGTCTGCCACAGGCACGGAGGGGACGGTCATCCCGAATCTCATCAAATCTGCAACAGACGAGCAGGCGCCTCACCCAGGAGGGACGCCCAGAACATCCTAAATTTACCTAAATAGCTGCACTTTCTCAGGGGGACGCTCCCATCCACTGACAAGAGAGTCACACGAACAGAACTGTCAAAATTTATTTTAATGGCGAAACTTAAGAGAATGATCTCCCTTTCCTTTCCTTTTTTTTTAAAAATTTATCTCCCTTTTCTGGAAATGCTTGCTTTGAACACAGACAGTGACTCCTATTAATGATTTCCAGCCCATCATGGGAAACAGAACGGAGAAGACCAACAGCCTCCGTGTCCTTCAATTTCACTGACGGGACAAAAACATAAAGGAATGTCGCTAGTAAAGGACAACCTCATAGGACACGTAGCCTGGCCTTTTCACTGTGTGTCTTATGTGTGTGTATGTCATTGAGGCTACGAAGCTCTCCCTTTAAATCACAAGATTTCAAATCCCACCATTAATATTGCTGAATGAGACAAACACCAAAGCTTACCATCGAGTCATGCAACCTCTAAGGCCGAAACCACACAGAGATTTTAAGCAAAGTTCCCAAATCGTTCGTGAGCGACAGAAGGAAATGAAGGAACAAGGAGGGTCAGACTAAGCCTGAAATTTCACTATGAAAACCAGGGCTGCCGTGTCCGGCCAGAGCGGGAGGCAGGAGGTGGCCCCGGGAGTGCGTCGGGCGCAGGCGTGCTGTGGGCTGGCCCTTTGCTTCCTTCCTCCCTCCTCCTGGGCTGGCAGCACGGGGCCCGTTACTTCCCGTAGAACTTCTTGTTGAGCAGGAAGATCAGCAGGTTGACGTTCACTTTGGCCCTGTCAAACAGCTTCATGACGGCGACGCCTTCATATTGTAGCTGCAGCAGGTCCTGTGCACAAAGAAACGTCCTGACCGTTAATCAGGTCCGTGGGGCGAGAAAAGAAAAGGACGCGGCGTGGAAAGGGACCCGGAAGGCACGAAGCAGTCCTTGTGTGCCGGGGAGAGACGGGCTGGGAAACCCGTTCCCGCCTCGTTCCCGCCCACAGCACAGCCACCCTGGGAGCTCGGGGAAAGCACCGGCTGGTCACCCCAGTTTCCTGGCACGTCTGGAGTGAAGAAGGCATCAAAATACACGAAACCCACAAAGAAAAAGCAGCAGGTTTAGCTGTCACACACGTTCAAGCTTTACATTTCACCATCACGTGTCTCCGGTTTGGCTGAGCGAAGGTCACCCTGGAGAAGGTGAAGTCATGCCCATCCCTGGTGAAATACACTGATCACTGACACAGGACCAGGCCCGCAGCGTTGCCGCTACAGTGGCTACTAGAGTCTTATGTCTGTTTCACTAGAAAGAGCTTATATATTGTGAAGGCGAGGGGAAAAGAGAGGACAAATGTTTATCAGGTGTCGAACGGAGTGGATCCAGAGACATGGAAGGGTGGATCAGAGGGCGGAATCTCGGAGGGAAGGCGGGGGAGGTGGGTGGCTGGGAGGTGATCAACCGAGGACTTTGTGTGCATAGATGCATGGCCCGTGGACATAAACAATGGAGCGGTAAGGGCCTGGGGCGGGGGCAGGCTGGTGGGGGCAGGAGG